AACTAATCCTGATGCCATAAAGGCCAGCCTGAGTGTGAGCCCTGCAGCGCTATTAGTCACATCAGTCATTTAGAAGTCAATTGATGGCTTTGCCTTACCCACACCAGAATCTTAGGAGTTAGATTCTTCTAGCACACTTTGTCATGGAACATTATTTTCTGGCCAATACTCCCTCCCAACAGCAAATCTGCTCATTCTTTTTGAAAAAGGCCCTGCCACATGGCCAGGTGCCACGAGCACAGAGGCGAGGGGATGGCCCCAGAGGATTGGGTACCCAGCAGTGGCAGGGTCCACATGAAGTACCTCAAATCTTTGCCCGATCTCAGGCCAACTGCAGCCGCACCTGAGCCAAAGTAGCCCCAAACAAATGTGGGCTGCAGTGCAGAGGCTCACACCAAGCATGTTTCTGGGCCAATATTTTCAATAAAAGCAAACATTCTGGTGATTACCACGAGCTCCAAGTTGCTTCCTTTGAGATTCATCTCATTTGGAAAGGATCAATGGACAGGGGACATCTGCTCTGCCCTCTGTAAGTTGGCAGAACATTCCCCCAACCTCCTCTGGAACTTCTTAAACTCACACAGTGAGAATTCCTCATTTAAAAATGATGAACCGTTATTCCTAACCACGTCAAACACGTCACAACTCCATCGCCATGCGAATGGCACTTCCCCCAGTATTAAGGGATCTCAGGTTGGAAGGCTTAATTGTCAGCTTTATCACCTAGATTGAGACATTGAGGCCTTACCCCCTGGCAGGCCCTCCTTTCCCTCCAAGTGCGCACACTTTGCTGGCCAACAGAGCCAGCCAACAGTCTCACTCTGTGGTACTGAGCAGCCATGAGGGCCGAGGACTCAGGAAGAGGCTTTGCCCCAGGAAGCTTAAGGCTGGGTGGAAAGACACAGCAAGAGCCCACAAAGGCCAACCAGTCCTGGGGATGATGGGCACAGAGACAGGGCCCTGGAGAGGAGGGCAGGCAGACCCCAGATGGAAGGACAAACACACAGGAATCAGAGGGGACCTGCACGAGGCAAGGCTTGTCAGCCCACCTTTCTGAGTATTTGCAGAATTCGACCCCTTCTGCACACCCCAGTCCCCACCCCCAGGTCCTGCCTGTCACCTCTCACCTGGACAAAGGCTCCTGTCCCTCCCCACCCTCTTCCCCAACTGTGCCCACAGCAGCCAGAAGGACCCTGTCAAATCCTCAGTCCCCTCCCACTGCTGCTCTGCTCAGAGCCCCCACTGTGGCTCCTGCCTCCTAGCCACACCTGCAGGCCGTCCCTGATGCAGCTTCCTTGCCCCAAACAGTGCTTCCTCAGGGCTCTGAAACAGCTCCCCAGTCTGGCATGGAACTCCTGATCCACAAGTCTGACTCCCATAGAAAACACCCTGTGAGAGGCAAGGGAGCTGCCTTGTTACCCCAGGAACCCACAGGGCCAGCACTGCACCCCACACAGAACATGCACCCCATAGTACTTACTGAGGGATAAATGAAACTTCTGCCACTGAAGGACTTGTACAGCACCTTCAGCTTTCAAACTCTTTAAAATCAACTTTACTGATTATGCTTCCAAAAACCCTTCAAGTTTAATACAACAGGAACTTAAAGAGGGCCAGGAAGCTTCAGGATATCTGATACTTTAACAGAATCATTCCTATTTCCCACAGACAGAGACTCTTCACATCAAGATGGTGACAAGGTGAGAGGCCCAGGTCACTCCCTAGAGTGACTGGTCCATGGTCAGATGCCTTGCCGAAGGCAGGGGTGGAAGGACACACGGGGTCTGACAGAAGACACAGTCATGAGAAGCCCCCCAGTTCTTGTCCCTAAGTGGCTTTGTGGCACCCTAACTGGGGAAGAAGTTTCCCAATGCCTGAGTAGTGCCATGCTTCCCTATCAAACACACAGATAAGACAGCTCTGAAGACAACCAGCCGCAAAATCCATCCCTTCCTAGTCAAAGCCGATTCCCAGGCGACACTACAGTAGGTGCCAGGGAAGGCAGACTAGGCTGACAGGGTATCCCAGCCCCAGGAGTGACTAGCCATGGTCAAGATGGGGCGGAACACGAGCTCCTGACTTCCTGGCTGAATGAGTACCAGCACAGTCCAGCGGAGAGACCTCCCCAAAGAGTGCCAGGAGGGGTGGTCAGGCTGCTCAAAGATTCCTGCCGAGGTGGACACATCCTGGGAGCAGGTTCTTCCCCCAGAAGGGGACTGCCCCGACCATGATCTCAGCCAGAGATGCTGCTAGAGTCCTACCAGCAAAGAGTTGGCCACTGTGGGTGAAAGTAACCTCAGAGATCCCCTTCCAATCCATCCGAAATGGGGTGCATTGTAGGGATGTGAGGGGTCACAGGTGGAACAAGAGGGAGCCTGTTACTTTCACAGTTATGTTTATTTTTACAAGTACTGTCTATGGCAAGTATACTAATGTTCTATTTCAGGGAATGATATGAAGTTTCCTTGGAAAAGAAAGATTCAGGAGAGTAAGGAGACACAAGACTGAAATGGGGTCCTAGAACTAAATAAATCTGCCCGAGGCCTGGAGTTTGGTTAGCAGTACTGTCCTAGTGTTTCTGCCTCAGCATAGTTTCCATGCTTCCAGCATAATTTGATAAGATGTTAACTTCAGGGGAGGCAGGGTGTGGGATAGAAGGAAACTGTACCTTTTTTGTTAACTCTTCTTTAGGTTTAAAATTCTCTCAAAATAAGAAGTTACAAAGTATTCAAACTTTTAAAAAGTGAGTTGAGCTGTTGAATATGAAGTAAACAGTACAAATGATACATGGATCTGGAAAGAGTGGAGGGCCATCCATCCAGAATATCAGATTTGGAAACATGTGGATCCTGTCACACACCTTCCTGTCACAGTGGAGAAGGGCCACACCAAAAGAGGTGGGGGGGTTGCCCAGGGCTGTGAGGGCCTCATGCAGCCTTGCCCACAAAGGTCCCAACCCCTGACCCTGTGTTCCCCCATCACAGCACCTCCCCTGAGCCACCCAGGGGACTAAGGACTACAGGACGTGTTCTGGTCTCAGGGCTCACTCACTTCCGTAAGGGACCCTTGATTAGATGCAGAGAAGATGTGCCCCATGGCAGGGGGAAAGCACAGCCCCCTTCAGACCCTAGGGCGACCCCACATAAGTGGAAATGAATCTGTGCTGATCAAAATGATCTGTGCGTACATCAGATCAAATCAAAGACCTCACATGAAAAATAAGAAATAAAGAAATAAGACCTCCCAAAAACATCCCCTTTAAGGTGTCAGGACGCATCTTTCTCCCTGCCTCTGCCTAAGCCAATCGAGCAAATGCCACCAGCCCCTCAGGCCAGCCCTCAGCCCCTTTCCCCTGCCTGCCCCGCATTCTTGGGTCTCTCCCTACCTCCTCCACTCCTCCCACCCACTACCTCCCTTCTCAAAGTCTAGCTCAGAACTGGTCTTGCCTTCCCCACCCAGAGGAGAGGGCCCCTGGGCAGCCAGACAAGGGTCCTCCCAGGTGCTCACACTCCCCCAGCCTGGGCACCTAGGGAGTTCTGCAGGCCCCCGGTGGGGGTGGGGGAGGAGGGAGAGGCCCTACCACTTTCAGGGCACTCAGGGCCCGCTTCTCAGTATCTCTGGAATTGAGGAGCCATGAAGGATCACATGGCAGCTCTCACCCTTGATCCAGCCACGAACTCTGAGAGGATGCCAACTGGTGGGTGTGCATAGTAGCAGTGTTCTGGGCTCCTCTGCTCTGTGGGGTCTCTGCAACCCTGGACATCCACAGGAAGGCAGCCCAGGAAGCCCAGGAGATTTCAGTGGGAGTCCCTGTCCCATGGAGTCCCACCCACCCTCACTGGGGTCACCGTCACAGGCGCTGAGCTGGGAATCAGGCCTGGTGCTGATCAGCCTGAGCGAGCCCTGTCACATCTGGCTGCCTGGCTCCCCACATGTAAACTGGCAGGACTAGACACCACAGTCCATGTTTAAGGGCCACTGGCCCATCCACAGTTAAAGCCAGGGGGAGGCTCTCCTCTCTGGGGGTTGAGGGACCACCTACCACCACACACCCATCTCCTGCCCCCAGCCCTGCTCCTGCTGGGTTTAAGACTGGAGCATAGAGAGTACACTACCCCGGCCAGCCTCTGGCGGTCCCGCTGAGGCCCAAACACATGAGAACCTGTTGGAGCAGTTTGGGCACCAGTATCACCTCCTCTTCCTCCTCCTCCACTTACTTCTGGGTGGGAAGGGGCCTCGGGTGGGAAGGGGCCTCGGGCTTTTGAAAACTCGGCACAGGGCCAGGTCATGGTCACAGGCAAAGGCCAAGCTTTACCTCCCCCCACCCCATCTTCCTCTGAGAGCATAAGGTCAAGTGAAAACCAGGGTGGGCCTGTGTCTGAAAACAGAGAGGAGGGGAATGGGGAAATGTGATGGCCAGGGAGGAGGCGGCAAAGTCACAACACCCCCACCCACACAGAGACACCATTCTGTCACCCGCACTCCCGCCCGGGGACATGCAGGCCGGCCGGGTCCAGGAGCCCTGCTGGGGCCGGGCAGGGGTCCCGCCCGCCCGGACGAGGTGCCGGAGCTCCGGGCCGCGGCGGAGGGTGGGCGCGTCGGCCGCCACCTGGCCGGGCCCCACGTCCGTCCCAGCCCCGCCGGCGTCCGAACCCGCCACTCGCGCCTCTCCGGGGCCCGCGCGGGGAAAGTTCCTGCAACTTCGCGGGGGAGGCGGCGGGCGCGGGGCCTGGGCCTCGGGAGCCCGGCCTCCGCCCCCGCTGTCAGGCGGCCCGGCCGGCTGGGCGCCCCAACTTCCCGGCCCGGCCCCCACCCGCGGCCCCCCGCGGGCCCGCTTTGTGAGCGGCGGCGGCGAGGGGCGCCCGCCCAGCCCCGGCCCCCGCCCCGGGCACAAAAGGGCGCGCGGCCGGCGGGAGGCGGCGGGCGGGGGCCTGCGGGGCGCTCACCGGGCCGGGCCGGGGCCGGGGGCCGGGGCCGGGGCCGGGCGGCTGCGCGCTCACCTGCCGTGGAACCAGTCCTTGCAGGCGTCGCACTCGATCATGAAGCGGGTAACATCGTAGGGGAGCCGGCAGACGCAGTACACGGGCACCGTCGCCATGTTCGCCGCGCCGCCCGCCCGCCCCTCGGCCCGCGCTGCGCTCCCCGGGTCGGGCCGGGCGGGCCGGGCCGGGCGGGGGCCGGGGCCGGGGACGGGGCCGGGGACGGGGCCGGGGGCGCACTACAGCCCGCGCGCACCCGGCTGGCGCGTCCACACAAAGCGGGGCGCGCGGTGCAGGGCCGCGCCGGGAGCCGCCCGCCGGCCCGCGGGGCGCAGGGCGCGAGTGTGCGCGGGGGACGGGCCGCGCGCGGGACACAAAAGGGAATGGACGCGCGGGGGCGGCGGGCGGAGAGCCGCGGCCCCACCGAAGGGACCCCCGGCCGCCGAGCGGCCTCTACGTCAGCGCCCCGGGTGGCGCCGCCTCCGCCCGCCAGCCTGGGCCGCCGCTCCCGCCGCGGGAAGGCGGGCCGGGGACCGCGGGGAAGGCGGGCCGGGGTACATCGCCGGGGGAGACGGTGGGCCGGGGGAACACTGCTGAGGGAGAAGAGGGACCGGGGGACCTGCCAGGAGAAGGTGGGTCGGGGGACCTGCAGGGAGAGAAGGTGGACTGGGACACCCCTCCAGGGGAGAAGGTGGGCTAGGAGACTGTCACCTGGAAGAAGGTGGGTAGGGGGATTCCCCGGGGAGAATGTGGACTGGGGGTACAGGGGGAAGGCAGGTCTGGGAGACCCTCTGGGTGTGAGATGAGACCCCGAGGAGGAGGACGACATCCTTCCTGGTTAAGAAGGCCGAGGAGCAACTACTTGGCTCTAAGTTTCATCTGATAAGCAGCGGAGCAGGGGGCAGCCAGGGGTGGGGGTTTCCTCCTGTTCCCTCCTCCTTCCTACCTTACCGACTGAGTTTCTGGCGGGAATACAACTTCCCTTTCCCCCTTACTCCTGGCTGGAGACAGCCCACCCTCCCTCACACGATCTATGGACTTCCCTTGATGCTCAGTCCTCAGAGGAGGACAGAATTCAGGGGACCCGGGAGCATGCTGGCACGGGTCAGCTCTGTAAAGAGAAAGGAGTTACCTGGAATTTGAGCTGCCCAGGAGCCCTGGAGGGAGCCCCCAGGCCTGGGAGACCTAAGGTGCAGGGAGGACAGCAGGTCCCAGGCCTCTTGTCTGTGTCCCAAATTGCTGAGTTCTGCTGGTGGCAACAAGGATATAGGAGGAGGGGGGAACCGAGAGGTGCTGCAGTGTTGCTCTGGGCCCAGCATCCTTTGCCCTAAAGTGGTCCTCCCTCCTCACCTGTGGTGGTCAGGCTCTTTGTTGAGTGTGAGATGGGGAGGAGGCCTGGCTCTGAGGGATCTTTTCCCAAGGCATTCTGTAGCAGGCTCTCCCCTGCCCCCTACCCAGCTGCTGCATCCTTTGGGCATCCGTGATCATTTCAGGATGCTAGAATAGAGCTGGCTCCTAATTCAGAGTAAGGAACCTGTCTGTGCTCCCTCACTCTGTCGGTCTTCCCCACCCTCCCTAAGCAAAATATGCATGGTGCTAGGAGATGCTGGCCACCACAAGCACAGAATTCCAGGCTTGGGGCAGGAAACCTGGCCCAGCTCACCTCACAGAAGCATCCCTGACAGGTACTCAGCCGAGACCTACAGCTGCTAAGGGCAACTTGCTCCACTTGTAGGCAGCTCTCCCTCCTGTTGAGTCAAAATCTGCCTTCACATTGTCAGCCACCTTCCCTCTACAGGTGACCCCTCAACCGCAGCTTCAGCGGTTCAGCTTCAGGGACAATGTGAGAGTGGGAAAAAGAAGATGTTGAAGGGGGAAATGGGGAGAAAGGGATTATCTCCCTCCCTCACCCTCTCACACATTGGTGAGCTGCCCAGGATCTGGAGCACAAGGTCTTCCAACCTGAATTCTAGCTGCCACGCTCCCCTCCAGAGTCTTAGGGAGTGACTATTAAGCATTGTCCACAATTAACACCCCAATGTGAATTGGTGCGGATAAACAGTACTCAGCCTGTAGATCAAAGTCTGCAAGGAGGCCCCGAAGAGCCTGGCCTGGGCACTGCTGAGTTACCTTCCCCCATGGCAGTACAGAAGCACTTAAACTAGCAGTGTCCACATCCCCCCACTTATCATCCATCGAAGCCAGAAACTTCTGGAGACCAACTTGACTGTGGCAGTCCTCATCTCTGACACTTCCATTTCCTATTTTACAAATAATGATAGTAGGTACCCAGCATTTGTCAAATGCTTACCAGGTACAGTGCACTGTGCTTAGTTCTTCAGACATGGACCAGAACTCACCCAGCTGCTTATAAAGCACTCAGCATACCCCCTGGGTAGTGATTATTACATACTCAGCACGCACATTGACACCTTAGGTGTTACTGCTGCCACTTTAGAGATAGGTATATAAACAGGTATCAGAGAGAGGTATAGTACTGGTGCCATTTTTCAGAAGTGAAAACTGAGGCCCAAAGCAGTTGAATGCCTCATGGAGGAGGTCAGCTGGCTAGTGAGAGGAAGGAGCAAGCCAGGAACCCAGACTTCTCCAGGGCCTAAGCCTGCACTGCCACCCCTCTGTCACCTCCCAGGGTACCCTGAGCACATACACTAGGCATGGGAGCCCATCCTTGACCCCCAAGTCCTTCACTGCTGACCTCTGGGATGGCTCTGGTCACCGTGCACCACCCACCTCTACTCCTTGCCCTCCAGGACTCCCCTGTCTACAGCTGTGTCCACTTGCATCTGGAAGTGTCCACTGAAATACTTTCCTGTTACTCAAAGCTCTTCCGAGGCTGCCTGCCAGCTACAGACTAAAATAAGACTCAGTATGGGTCCCAGACTCTTCCTCTCTTTGGTTTCTCCCAATGAGTTCCCTCTTATCCCCCATCAGAAAGCCTGCCTTATCTCTACGTCCTCCCTCTTTCTCATTCATTTACGTCAACATATATTGAACATCTGCTGTGTGCTGAGCAGTGTTGTAGCCATGGAGCACTCAGCAGCCCCAAGTGTTGTGGAGCTCATATGGCAGTAAAGGGAGACAGCAACACATACAGTGGGCTGGGTACCACAGTGCCCTGGGGAAACTGGCACAGGGTGGGGGCTGGGCAGAGGCGGAGAGCTCCTGAGGTGACCTGGAAGCAGAGGCCTAGAAGGGGTGAGTCGAGGAAGGAGAACGAAGGGAAATTACTTGCAAGGACCCAGAAAGGAATAGGGGTGGCCTTAGCACTCTGCCACGCTAAGCTCAGTGGCCCCTCCATGTGGTCTGCCCATTACCTCAGCATCCGTCCCCCAAGTTTGCCTCATTCTCCAGGGCACAGCACCCATGTGTCTGTGCCAGCATCAAGACCTCACCACCCACCCCAAGAAGCCTGGCATGCTGTAGGGGTAAGGTGGGTGGGCTTCCAAACTACAAGGCCATGTGCTGCCCCTCCACCCTGGCACTCTGGTGAAGTATGACTGCAGTGCCGCATACCCTGCAGTGAGCATCTGAGGACAAGGCGTGTTTTATTCACCTTATTACCCAGTGGAAAAGCAGCATCTTCCAGTATGTATTTATTCACTCACCTACTACTCAACAAAGTGTACTGAATTGCAGGTACAGGGCTTTTGGTTTTTTTTTAAATTGCGGTAACATACACAGCATAAAATTTACCATTTTAACCATTATTCGGTGTACAGCTCTGTAGCATTAAGTACATTTACAGTATTGTGCAGCCATCACCATCATCCATCTCTACAACTATTTTCATCTTTCCAGACTGAAATTCTGACCCTAACTCCCCATTACCCCTTACCTCCAGCTCCTGGTAACCGCCATTTTACTTTCTGTCTTTATGAATTTGACTACTCTAGGGACCTCACATAAGTGGCATCATACAGTATTTGTCCTTTTGTGATGCTTATTTCACTTAGCAGAATGTCCTCAAGGTTCATCCATGGTATAGTATGTGTCAGAATTTCCTTCCTTTTTAAGAACGAATGATACTTCATTGTATGGGTATGCCACATTTGGTTTATCTGCTTACTGTTGATGGACACTTGGGTTGTCCCCACTATTTGGCCATGAGTATGGGTATACAAATATCTGTTCAAGTCCCTGCTTTCACTTCTTTTGTGTGTATACCCAGAAGTGAAATTGCTGAATCATATGGTAATTCTATTTTTAACTTTTTGAGGAACCACCATACTGTTTTCCACAGTAGCTACAGCATTTTACATTTCCAACAACAGTGCACAAGAGTCCTAATTTCTCCACATCTTCATCAACACATTATTTTCTGGTTTGGGATTTGTTTTTTGTTTGTTTGTTTTAATTTTTTTTAAAGCCATCCTAATGTGTGGGAAGTGGTATCTCATTGTGGGGTTTTTTTGAAGTAAATATTTTTATTTTGATTGATTTCTCAATGTATAGTTCAATATAATAGTTTTTTGTTTTGTTTTTTGCTGTACGCGGCCCTCTCACTGTTGTGGCCTCTCCCGTTGCGGAGCACAGGCTCCGGACGCGCAGGCTCAGCGGCCATGGCTCACAGGCCGAGCCGCTCCGCGGCATGTGGGATCTTCCCGGACCGGGGCACGGACCCGTATCCCCTGCATCGGCAGGCGGACTCTCAACCACTGCGCCACCAGGAAAGCCCAATATAATAGTTTTTAATGGCAACAGTTTGGTTCTACTGAAACTCCATGATCATTGTGGTCTTGATTTGCATTTCCCTAATGATTAGTGATGTTCAGCATCTTTTTATGTGCTTATTGGTTATTTATATACCTTCTTTGGAGAAATGTCTTTGCATCTTTTCCTCATTTTTTATTTGAGTTGGTAAAGCCCAATTCATCTGTTTTTTCCTTTTGTTGCCTGTGTATTTGATGTCATATCTAAGAAACCACTGCTAAATCCAGTGTCATGAAGCTTTCCACTGTATGTTTTCATTTAAGAGTTTTGTAGTTTTAGTTCTTAAGTTTAAGACTTTGATCCATTTTCAATTAATTTTTGTATAGGGTGTGAAGTAAGGGTCCAAATTAATTCTTTTGTAGGTGGTTATCTAGTTTTCCCAGCACCATTTGTTGAAAGGACACTCCTTTCCCCACTGAATGGTCATTGCACCCTTGTCAGAAATCATTTGACCATATGGGCCAAGGGTTTATTTCTGGGGTCTCTATTGTATTTCATTGGTTTGTTTGTGTATCTTTATGCCAGCACCACACTATTTTGATTACTGTAGCTTTGTGGTAAGTTTTGAAATTAGGAAGTGTGAGACCTCCAACTTGGCTCTTCTTTTCCAAGATTGTTTTTGCTCTTCTGGGCCCCTTACAATTCCATATTAATCTGAGGATTGGCCTCTCCATTTCTGCACAAAGAGCTATTGGAATTTTGACAAGGATTGTGTTGAATCTGTAGATCACTTTGGG